TGGACTTTTATCGGTAGGGCCATTGGAGCATTTTTTTTTTTTATTAGAAAAAAAGTGTCAAGTGCAGGTTTCGATCCTGGGTTGTAACGGTCGAAAACCAATGGTTTAGACCACCCTTCCACCGACCCCCTATTGATGTATTGAGTGTGCAGGAGAAGGCCACCAAATGGCTGAAGGACAGTGAGATGGACGGCCTCACCACCAACGGAGTCCTTATCATGCACCCCACAGATGGGCCAGAGGGAGACCTGCGGCCTGGGATGTGGCATGAGGTGTCCGTGGGTGGTGCCATCTATACACTGAGGGAGTCCCGCTCCGCTGCCAAGTGTGGCTTGCTAGTGAGTCCTGTCACAATGTGCTTCTTTTTGGAAGGAAATATTTACCATTCTTATTGATAACCTGATAAGGCACAATTTGGATTATATTACATACAGTTACGAGCGTCATGCGTGGCCTCTGTCACAGTTTGCTTTTTTTTGGAATGGCGCCCTCCTATTGGTTGGCTACGATCACGCCACCTTTGCCACCCCCCCCCCCCCCCCATTTCTGTAACTATTGTGTTGGAGCGGGTCGCTCCTTAAATAAATGCATATATTAGTTAATAACCAAATGGAATCCTCTCTTTCTTTTTCCCAGTAAGAGACGCCTACGGAAGCCAACAGTACATAGACAGATAAAGCACATAGGCTATAGTTATTAACTAATATATGCATTTATTTAAGGCGCCAATTTATAATTGTAACAAATAGTATTTGAATCAAAACATTCAATCGGGTAAAACACGGGCGTTGCCCGGGTCATTCGGCTAGTAGATTATAAACCCAAGGTAATAAGACCATATCCAAATAAATAAATATTGACAATTGAAACAAATTTTATTGACTTCTTGTCAATAATTTACATTAAAAATTGAAATAATGGATAAACTAAAATATAGATTATCATGCGGGGGATGTGCCCCGGCGAGTGAGCCCTCTTTCCCAGGCGATAAGCGGGTCCTCCGGTCAGCCCAACCTGTACAAAGTACTGGTAGATGATGGATTTGGCCGATGCCAAGATGGCCAGGTCATCACTGTTACCTAAACATCACACATTATTTATTTATTTGGATTCGGTCTTATTACCTTGTGCTTATTGATACCCCCTTATCTGTCAGGTTGTTGTTGTTAGTGCCCATCAAATTGACTTTTGGTGACACAACAACAACAACAACAAAAAAGCCTTTATTTAGGGTCACTGACCCTATACAGGATTCACCAGAGGTATGCATAAGAACAAAGCAGTGAGACAAAGGAAATAACGATATATACAGAGTAAAAAGAGAAAAAAAAAAACAAGAAAAGGAAAAAAAATAATAAGAAGAAGAAAGAGGGAAGCAAGAAATCAACACAAAAAGAGTAGCAGTAAGAAAGTGAGGAGTGAGTATCACTTGGCCTTCTTCTGAGATATGGACTTGTGGAAACCATAAAACGCCGTAGCAATATACTTATTCTGGGTCATATTGTCAATTATTGATGGAAGTGAAGCACAGAGTTGCCCAGTTTTGGTTTGGTGACACTACAGACAAATATTCTCCAGATAGAATTTTTTTTTTTTTAAATCTCCACTCAATCATATTAGGGTACTGAGTGAAGTAGAATGCATCTGCCTTTGTCATTAAAACTGGGAGCACTACTCAGTGGCAGGCCGACTTAGCTCCAAAATAAATGGCCGCCTCTGACATGAGGAACAGACACCATGTGCAGCTGCTCCTAACATGGAGTACAAACGCTGCTCATCCTGTATCCCTGGAGCCCTTACAGGGTACTATCAGCCGGGCCAGCTGAGCCCAGGTTTTTTAGTGAGCTTGTTACTGCTCCCCCTCCTCCTTTTTCATCCGGGCTTGGAACCGGCAAAGGCGGAAGAATTTTGTCAGGAGGATATTGATCTCTACAAAAATAAATGTGACACCTTCAAAGTACTCGTACTGCAATTCCTCTTCAGATGTGGTGATGGTGTCACTTATCCCAAGACTTGACCAATTCCCCTTTCAAATATACTCTCTGTCAATAAGTGAAAAACCTCTCTCTGTAAATGACACCTAAATGAAGAACAAAAGTTTCCATTATGGACAGGTGTCTTCTTACCAGAGAGTTGCTAAATAGTAAAAATGGTCATTTTGGCAATGAAAGCAGTTCTTTGTAGAGAGATGACTTCTAGCAGGAGTGTCCTCTCATGAAGGTTCTAATGTAGTTTAAAAAAAAAAAAAAAGCTTTTTTCAAATAGGGTTTGAATTAAGTTTATTATGGTATGTATAGACAGAAAACAATATCCCATTATGTGATCACCTTGGTAAAATCAGAAATATTTAAAACCTCACATAATCCAACCTCTGATAAGAGACCCCCCTCCAGAAGAGACCAGAAATAACAATGTTTTTTAAGTGTTGTAGTGTACCATGGGAGTGTACCAGAGTCATGACATTGTGTGTCTATGTGACAGAATGAAGAAGAATGCAATGTCCTCCAAGACTTCTCCCTCATAGATCTCTGCGGAGCCACCCTGATGTGGAGGACCAACAATGTCATGGTAACCTTCTTCCACACCTCTCTCTCTCTGGTAATAAAAATGCTATCCTCCTGTACACCATATGGACTTGGGGTCAGTATACTGATGGATAAAACTTAAGGAAGTTGTACCTTTCAGTATGTATATCGGGATTCAGATAATAATGCTGAAAGATATTACAGTGACCTTTATTGAAGACACACGAGATAACTACACTCATGGATAAAACTTAAGGAAGTTGTACCTTTCAGCATGCATATCAGGATTCAGACAATAACTCTGAAAGATATTACAGTGACCTTTATTGAAGACACACGAGATAACTACACTCATGGATAAAACTTAAGGAAGTTGTACCTTTCAGCATGCATATCAGGATTCAGACAATAACTCTGAAAGATATTACAGTGACCTTTATTGAAGACACACGAGATAACTACACTCATGGACAAAACTTAAGGAAGTTGTACCTTTCAGCATGTATATCGGGATTCAGATAATAATGCTGAAAGATATTACAGTGACCTTTATTGAAGACACACGAGATAACTACACTCATGGATAAAACTTAAGGAAGTTGTACCTTTCAGCATGCATATCAGGATTCAGACAATAACTCTGAAAGATATTACAGTGACCTTTATTGAAGACACACGAGATAACTACACTCATGGATAAAACTTAAGGAAGTTGTACCTTTCAGCATGCATATCGGGATTCAGACAATAACTCTGAAAGATATTACAGTGACCTTTATTGAAGACACATGAGATAAATACATTCATGGACAAAACTTAAGGAAGTTGTACATTTTAGCATGCATATCAGGATTCAGACAATAACTCTGAAAGATATTACAGTGACCTTTATTGAAGACACACGAGATAACTACACTCATGGACAAAACTTAAGGAAGTTGTACCTTTTAGCATGTATATCAGCAATCAGACAATAACTCTGAAAGATATTACAGTGACCTTTATTGAAGACACACGAGATAACTACACTCATGGACAAAACTTAAGAAAGTTGTAACTTTCAGCATGTATATCGGGATTCAGACAATAACTCTGAAATATATTACAGTGACCTTTATTGAAGACACGAGATAACCAAGTGTGAACAAAATTGCCTCTGTCTTTTTCAAAAAAAATATACGACTGGTGACATCAAAAATATTTAACTTCCTCAAGTTTTGTCCATGGGTGTATACCAGAGACTACCAGAAAAGATGCAGCCTTGTGTTTTTACCACATACTGTGACGTTTGCTGGAAAGTTGAAACCTTGTGTGTTGCACAGACCCTCCAACATATAGAAGAACAGATCGGACAGCTCAACGCCATGCGGCCTCAGTGTCCTGTGGGCCTCAACACACTGGTCATCTCACGGCGCGGGGGCAACACACCGGAGAGCAAGCAGCCCTATGTCTACCTCAGCTGTGGCCATGTACAAGGATCCCATGCTTGGGGGATGGACAAGGAGAAGAGACCCTGTCCTATCTGTCTGAAGGTCTCTCTCTCTCTTCTTGATTGTGTGCTACTTACATAATAGGAAATTTATATAACGTGCCATCTATATATAACCAATGAAAACATTAAGACTCGAGCGTTTATTTTCACAAATAAATCAAACTTCTACTGTCCTTACTACTAGTGGTTTGGTAGATTAAATTGGAAAAAGGAGGAGGGGGAGCAGTAACAAGCTCACTATAAAACCTGGGTTCAGCTGGCCCGGCTGATAGTACCCTGTAAGGGCTCCTAATCCAGGGATACAGGATGAGCAGCGTTTGTACTCCATGTTAGGAGTGGCTGTACATGGCGTCTGTTCCTCATGTCAGAGATGGCCATTTCTTTTGGAGCTAAGTCAGCATGCCACTGAGTAGTGCTCCCAGTCTTAATGACAAAGGCAGATGCATTCTACTTCACCCAGTGTGGAGATAAGAAAGAAGAAGAAGAAACCGCTGATGAGCCAAACCCTCCCAATATTTTTTTCATCACATTCAGGACAGTAGAAGTTTGTTTTATTTGTGGAAAGAAACACTCATGTCCTAATGATTTAATTTGTTATAATAAGAAATATAAACTATGATGTGTAGGATTCTTTTTGAACTAAAACCATTTTCTATACTTCCCTTACTGCAACGATAAAAATAATCAGTGGTGAACCCTCCCAGTGGTGATGAGTGAGGCTTTCCTATTATTTTATTTTATCATTGCAGATTGATAAGGCACATTTATCATTGCAGTAAGGGGATAGTAGAATTTTTTTTCAATTCAAAAAGAATCATATGCATCAAAAATGTTTATATTTCTTATAACAGATTACTTATATAATGTTGCTGTTGTTTCTTATCCCCTTGTGTAAAGATTACACAAATTCCATGAGTCCATGCTCCTCGAGCTGTTTGATGATAAGCAACAGCCTCTCCCACTTAATATTCTTCTACAATAAAAGGCCATTCAGGGGTTTGAACCCTGGATCTTTGGTTTGCAAGAACAAAGCCTTACCACTTGGCCCAACGGCCTAGTTTTGCCGACCTCTCCCAAAAGCCCTGTTATCAACACATATATCTTCTTCCTATTGCCAAGGTTAAGAGAAACACTGGGATTATAGAATGAAGATTTTTCAAAAAGAAGACAAGTCTTGCACATCAGTGAGTGCAAGTAACTGTATAGGGCTCTGGTAAAATGTGTAGTCAACATGCTTTCTCCACGTGTTTGTTTGCTTATCTCTAGTACACGTGGTACAGGTCATGATAATCATGGTGGGTAGAAGAAGACGACTGCTCTTTTACTGTAAGTGCACCACATGTTTTTCCAATGTGAAAAGCAGTTCGACTTTGCACTTACAAATGTGCCAGAGCCCCGTTTGGTTACTTGCTCTCGCTGGTGGGGTTGGATATTTGCAAGAATCGGGGACCATTGGAGCAAATTTTTTTTTTTTTTTTTTTTTTTTTTTTTTTAATTAAGAAAAAATTGCCCAATGCAGGAATCTAACCCGGGTCGTAGCGGTCGAAAACCAACGGTTTAGTCCATCCTTCCACAGACCCCCTCCTTTCTCCACGTGTAGATATGTAGTGTTGGATTATGTAAAGGGAAGTCACTTAACTAACCCTTAATGTTTAGCATGGCCTTCACTACATTAAAAAAAAAGGAGACAATAAATCAAGCTTAAATGATAGCAAGAATCAATGCAAGAAATCTCTCCAACCGTTAAAAACTAGAAAGCAACATCGAAATCTATCCTCTCCCCATCTTGTCTAAAATGTAACACAAGATATCCCAGAATATAACTTGTGTTACGATACTTGTGTACGAACACACTTCTTCTTTCTTATCTCCACTCAATCATATTAGGGTATCAAGTTGTGACCCTTGATGGTGTCTGTTTGACAACCATCATAACTGGGTGAAGTAGAATGCATCTGCCTTTGTCATTAAGACTGGGAGCACTACTCAGTGGCAGGCCACTGACTTAGCTCCAAAAGAAATGGCCGCCTCTGACATGTGGAACAGACGCCATGTGCAGCCGCTCCTAACATGGAATACAAACGCTGCTCATCTTGTATCCCTGGAGCCCTTACAGGGTACTATCAGCCGGGCCAGCTGAGCCCAGGTTTTTTACCGAACTTGTTACTGCTCCCCCTCCTCCTTTTCCATCCGGGCTTGGGACCGGCAAAGGCGGAGTTAAATGTTAGGAACACCTTTGGTACACAGTTGTATACAAACACCGTTGATAACCAAAAACATGCTATTATGGAAGTTGTATTACATTTTTCATTTCATTTATTTAGATTTAGTCAACAACAACAAAAGCCTTTATTTAGGGCATTCCGCCCCATACAGGATTCGCTGTATTTACACGTCAACAAGAGGAGAGGGAAGAGGAAACATTTACAACAAAATAAAGTTTGTCTCACATTCAGTTACCTATTTACAGATAGTTCATCCTCCAGTATCCTTTGCCCTGCATTCTTTCTCATGCGCCCAGCTTCTGTGCAGAACTTAAAGTATCTAACAATCAGTAATTCATCATTCAGAGCTGAAAAGAGAAGTTGACATATGCGATGGTATCTAAATTGACCAGAGTTAGGGCTTGGGAAAATTTCAGTACGTTTTTCTGTTAAGAGAGGGCATTGGAAGAAATAGTGAACCAAATTATCATCCATGAGATCCTTACAAAGTAAATAGTTTCGGCCATTTTCTTTCCAGAAGTCTTTTCTTTCTTCCCTGAAAAATTGCCATAAAATTCTTTTTTCTTTTTATATATTATTTTTAATATTTGAATCTTTCACACAACCACAAAATAAGATTCTTGTACTAAGTTGTGCTAGCTAACAACACTCTATTTGTTTTCCTATGATGGTATCCAGGAAGGTCCTGTGGTCAAGTTGGAAGTGGGCATGGAGCCTGCCTTCTACCTGGACTACGGAACCCCCAACTATGCCTTTGATCCTTGCGGTCACATGACTACTTTTAAAACAGTTCGGTAAGTACACACACCACTGTCCTCTAGCTCATGTAACAGCAATAAATATATAAAGTGTTCAATAGACCTGGAATGAAAGATATGGAGAAGACATTATGGTGGGTTGGAGCAGGAGTGATATAAACCATCAATTTTCAAAAGGATGCAAATTTACTTATCAAAATTCTAAATTATTTTAAAGGCGTAAGATTCTTTTTTTAAATAAACAATTTCTACTGCCTTTACTGCAATGGAAAAATTAATGGGAGGACCCCTGGCTCATCAGATGGCGCGCTAGAGTGCATCATATTATAAATTTACTTATAACATACACTCCAAGAACTCATGGACAAAACTTAAGGAAGTACAAAGTCTTTGATGTCACCAATTATCTATCTATCTATATATTTTTTTAAGAGGCAGAGGTAATTTTGTTTTACAATTGGTTATCTCGAATGTCTTCAATAAAGGTTACTGTAATATCTTTCAGAGTTATTGTCCTGATTTTAGGAGACAGAGGTAATTTTGTTTTACAATTGGTTATCTCGAATGTCTTCAATAAAGGTCACTGTAATATCTTTCAGAGTTATTGTCCTGATTTTAGGAGACAGAGGTAATTTTGTTTTATAATTGGTTATCTCGAATGTCTTCAATAAAGGTTACTGTAATATCTTTCAGAGTTATTGTCCTGATATGCTAAAAGGTAAAACTTTCTTAAGTATATATTGTCTATGAGTGTATACAGTTGGGGTGTGATGATAAAGAGTGTGGCCTAGATTTGTCTCTTAAAGGATTACTTTAGCCAGGGATAAAAAAGAAATGTTTGAACTGTCCTTACTGAAGTGAAAAAATTAGACGTAATTTGTTTATTTTTCTACAGGTAATATTCGTTATACACTTATGTAATTTGTTTATCTTAGAAGCATATGTCTGTAGTTTGCCTAAATACCATAGACAAGATTCCATCCTTCCCAAGTTTCACCTTATAGGCATAAAATCATCCAATATACAATACTAGCCGAATGACCCGGGCAACGCCCGTGTTTTACCCGATTGAATGTTTTGATTCAAATACTATTTGTTACAATTATAAATTGTGGTCATGTGGCCTAGTGGTCATGGCATCTGCCCGGTAAGCGGAAGGTCGTGGGTTTGATTCCCATCCCTTGACACTTTTTTTATTTTATCCATTCTGACCAAAATCTATCCGTGAACTTCACGCAGACAGAATAAGGCAATTATATATACAATATTAGAGCTCTCAAAAGTTGATGGTAGATTAGATTGGAGAAACCACTGGGAGGGTTCCCCATTGATGAACCAAGCCCTCCCAATATTTTTAATCTCAATAAGGACATTAAAAAGTTTATTTTAATTCAAAATTTCCAAAAAAGTCATGCTTATCAGTTTTATTTCCTCTATTATGTTATTAATGCTGTTACCAAAATGTCACCAATATAGTGTGTCTATAGTCTCTTTTTATCAATTCATTCAAAGCATTACAAAAGTAGCATTAGGAATTCTATGCAATTAAATCATTTGAAAGGTTATACAGTAGAAACTTCTCTGTAAAGAACAACACTAAGTTGAAGAGCTAAAGTATCCTTTAGGGAGAGAGGTTTCCTCTTACTGAATAATTTATAAATAGTAAAAATTATAATTTTGACAATGAAAACTGTCCTTTGTAAAGAGGTATCCTCTAGCTATAGTATCCTCTCATGGAGGTTCTACTGTATAGGCAAATTTAACCTCAATATAACAGAAGAAAATGGCTTCAATTTTGGAGAAGGCTAAATATCATCTGGAATATATATATACAGTAGAACCTCAATGAGAGGACACCCCGCTAGTGGACACCTCACAGTGGACAGTTTTCATTTTCAAAATTACCATTTTTACAATTTAGCAACTCTCCGGTAAGGGTACACCTCTCTCCCTAAAGGACACCTAATTGTAAGCCAAAGTGTCCTTTTACCAGAGAGTTGATAAATAATAAAAAGGGTAATTGAGGCAATGAAAAAAAAAAACCTCCTTTGTAGAAAGGTGTCCTCTTGAAGGAGTGTCCTCTCATGGAGGTTCTACTGTATTGGGAATATAAATAAGTAATGCTCTTGTATGAATTTGTATTAAGTTGTGTGTGTCTTCTAACTTTTCTGAATCTCTCTAATCCAAACACTGTACATAATCCCCATGTAACTGTTATCCCGCCGTAGGTTCTGGTCTTCAGTCAAGATACCCCATGGACTCAAGGGTTTCCATGCCATGTGCCCCTTCTGCGCGACCCTTCTCAAAAGGAAGGGTTATGTTAGGCTTATCTTCCAAGATAACTTAGACTGATGTTGACACTTTCCTTCCCCCTCTTTTTTCCTGCAGATGGCTTACCTGTGGCTATGAGTGCTGTATCCTCTTGTGGCCATTTGAGTCAATCATTTCATGTCTCAAAGAATGGATTTCTAATTAATTATTTGTTTAGTAATTGTAAGTTTTTTTCTCCCTTGGTATATAGTCAAATCATTTTGTTTGTTTGTTTGTTTTTGATCATATCAATAATGAAGTTTTGTTATTTATGGTCTTCATTAGTTTTTTGTTTTTTGGAAATAGTTTTCATTGTTATTTGCATATTTCCTAGTTGTTGCATCTATCAATATGGATTTTATATCTGCATATTTACATCTTTTTTTTTTTTTTTAATCAAATTTCTCCTTTATCCTCTTTCTTTCTTTTACTGAAAGTGTTGGGAGGAACATTTAACTCTCTACTTAATTGGGACTTAGATTTGTTTCAATTATTAAGTATCTTTTTTAAAATTATTTTTAAATGTGAACTGGTGACACCTATCCACCTAGTAAAATCTTCTAAACATATATAAAACATTTTGGTTATCACATTATAGTAGAACTAACTACCATTCTCTAAAGGACAACACCTAGTTACAGAGCCAAAGTTTCCTTTACCCCATTGATTTTTAAAACCATGGTTTAGAGGATTGGAACTGGTCTGCTGGTCATTTTAACTGGACACCTCAGTGATTTTTTTTACACCTGTCTGCATTTTTAA